TGAAAGAATCTATATAAAATATGTATATGTAATATAAAAGTAAACGTAACGACGAACACATTTTATTTACAAACTGAAGCTGTTTGTAATGATTGTTATGCAACTGTTTTATTAGACTATCTTTGTTTATCTATTCAGCTGTTTGTGTGTTCTCTCTGACTAAGGTCTAAAGAGTAAAAAGAGAACTAGAAGCATAACAGAAGACCTTAATCCTCACGCTTTGTTACATAAGTGTGACAATATAATTATGAGTGATACTGATACTGTTCACGCCTTTAACAAAAGTTTAAAAAAAGTACCAACAAAATAGAGTGTATTTATTTTTTCTCTCTGATAAGATAATTCCTAGTAATGTATAAAAAATACTATATAAAATCTGAACTGTACAGAATAAGTAAAACAAGCTATTGATTAGCAACGAGTCACGAAGTTTCACTAGTATGACATAATATTGCCCATCCTAACTTTTTAGACCATAAATATATATACCAAAATTAGCTGAAATATTTAAAAGCAATATGTACTGTATTGCTCAAAAAATAAAAACCAATTTCAATAAGCCGCAGGTACACTGATAAACGGCGATATGTTTAGTAGGTACTATGCAACGACTTGTTTCGTAGATAATCTAGTGTTTATAAATATAGTTTACAAATATTATGTGTTTATATCTCAGCAGTTTTTTAGTGTACAAAGAAAAGAATGATTGATACCATCGTATTAATCATTTCAAAATGGGACCAATACATGAGTAAACCGATTGATTGCTAAAATTATAAAAATTGGTATTAATGATATAGTCGTGTGCCAGTTGCAAAAAAAGATTCAAACGAACTGAGATCCTCCCTATCTTGAGACTCAAAAAAATCAATATATTTTTATACTGCTTAAAAGAGTTACGTTGTGAACTCAAAGATAACGTATTTATCGTGTAAAATATCTTTGCATAAGCCCATAATAGAATTTCAAAGCGACAAATTCAATATTGTATTAACCATAGAGCAGCTACGTCGTGTGAAATTGCGAAGTCAGGAGACAGTGAGGGAATTATTTTTTATTAAATTCGTTTCATAACGTGAACATGTCGCCCCCTGTGTCCCCTACAAACTTAGAAGGGTTCCAGTTGACAGCACCATTTACTCGGAAATATGACGTCGCTTGTTCTACAGTTTCAAATTTACTTAGGCCTACAAAATGAATACTGTACATTAATAAATATTTTTACGACTATAATCCTTAAATGTCCTAAATAAGAGATATTTGTCAATTATTGTTATTGTTGTGAACGTGAAAATTATGTCTACATTTCGCACGAGCACTTTTAAATCCAAGAAGATGGCATGACAATAGGCTCACCTATAGATATCACTCATACTATTCTGGTTTTTAATAATACTTTCATCACCAAAGATTTTCAATGAATTGATTAAAATTCGTAAAGTTTTGAGGTCTCGTAAATTATTCGTTATATATCATATTGTTTTTTTTTAAGTTGGTGATAATGAAATGGTGACCCCGTCTGCGCTAACAATATACGCTGGCAGTAGCAGGCCAATTAGCCCATCATAACGAATTTCACTAGAATTAACCACGATGGTTTCCAGAGAGAACCGAGTGGAGGTCGACTTGATAGTGTATTGCTAGCAATGGGTCACTAAGACCCCATTACTAACAATCGCTTTCCCCCTATTATTTATGATTAAGTTATTACATATATCAACCGAATATCTGACCTTGTATATACGGATTTCCAAAGACTTTTCTTTCCAAACAGATTCATACAAAAAAGTATTTTACTTTATCTATGAGAGAACACAAGTACATAGATTTTTATATATCAGTTTAATATGTGGCTATTAGTAATTTTACATCTTCATCCATCCATAAATGAGGTTTATGGGGTTTATAACGACACAGTATATTTTACGCCTTTAACCATAGACTACATAATAGTTATTATATATCAATATACACACCACTACAATAAACAATGTAAATACTTACGCTTATAATCACCTACTCTATACAAATTATTTTCGTATATCACGCGAATATACTATCAGCAAAGGCGATACTACGGACGTAAAGGCTGACGTAGTTGACTCGTTCAAATCAAAATAAGTCTTGTGGAGTATATAAATAACAATAGGCAACTTAAATTGTGCACGCGAGCAGGCTACGCAGTAGAGACCGCTTGAAATTATTTATCGCCGCAGATGCTTTATGCGATTTCTATAAAATGAACCCAAGGTTTGCGTCAAATTTTCAAATAAATTTACAGGGTGCAAAAGAATAACACCTGAGTCCTCAAGAATGGCAACGCATGGGGAGTATCATTGGCCAAACAGTATACTCTGTAATATCTATGGTACTGCTCATATCTACGAGGTTTGTCCGGAAAGTACGTATAAAAGTTTTTTAAAAATTTTATTTTACAATTATTCAGGTAAATCAATTTTATCCCCTTCAAAGTACTCCCCCTGTGACATAATGCACTTGTGCCAACGCCGTTTCCACTGTGAGAAGGCTCCTTGAAAGTCCTCTGGTTGTAGGTTTCTCAGCTGCCCCGTCGTAGCTTTTTTTATCTCATTTATGTCCCCCAAATGCCGCCCCCGAAGTACCAATTTGGTTTTTGGGAACAAGAAGAAGTCACACGGGGCCAAATCCGGCGAATAGGGGGGGTGTTCGGTCACCGTAATGGAATTTTTACTCAAAAACTCACGGACAACAAGAGAGGTGTGGGCAGGGGCATTGTCGTGGTGAAGAATCCAACGCCCCTCTCGCGCCAATTCTGGACGAACTCGTGCCACACGAGCTTTGAGGCGTCTGAGCACATCGACGTAGAATTTTCCATCAACTGTCTGGCCTGGAGGGACGAATTCTTGATGGACAATCCCCCGAACATCGAAAAAAACAATCAACATTGTCTCGGCCCTCTCTGAATCTTTTTAGCCACTTGTGGACGGTTGGTTCCTTCACAGCATCATCCCCATAAACTGTTCTGAGATCGGCAAAAATTTCACGGCCATTCTTGCCGAGTTTCGAGAGAAACTTGATTACGACGCGCTGCTCTTCAACGGAAGCGGGCTCCATGCCGACGGGGTTTCGTTAAGAGATAACTTCACAGATGGCGTGACAAGCCAGTTCGCACCGCACGGCGGTCAGACCAGAACTGAAGCATTGTTAGGGACATAAGGAAGGGGTCCTGCGCTTACCTGGCCTCCCCACTCCTCTTTCTCGCATTCCAGAACACTTTTATACGAACTTTCCGGACAGACCTCGTATAGGCAATGGTTGCCACTTTCCATCAGGTGGGCTATAAGCCTGTTTACCATTCTGAGTTTTATAAAAAAAAAGAATTTAGTATTTTATCCAAATAACAAACACTGTCAGTTAAGTGTGTTCTTCTTTAATAATCTGTCCAGTTCTAGAGTAAGGGCATACGGCTCGAGCTGCTGCAGCTTCTAACCAATACTCCCTCTGCGACTGCATAAATTCATCATTCTTTTTTACCAATTTCCTTTCAGTCCCAACATCTCTTTCCTTTTTCGTTGATCCTTTCATTCGTAGGTACTGACAAATGCTTTATTGCTGCTTAAAACTTAGCCGTAAAATAATGAATTTAGAATCCCAAATCATCCCGAATCAAAAGATAAGTTTGGCAATCCAAAGAGGTAATGCTGCCAGTATCTTGGGTACGCTGCCTCGGTGTGGTGCGTTGGGAGATTACTTATAATTAGTATTAGTATTTAAGGAATTTTATATTAACTTTAATTTATTGTTGTATTGTTTTTATATAATAAGAGCTATTTGTAATATTTAAAATTAAATATGATTACGAAATTTTAAGCGAAATATATAAATTCAGAATCCCATTATTTTGGAAGTCGTGTAAAACTAAATAAATATATAAGTCTAAACTAGAAAATAAGCGTGAAAGTCAAAGTGGACTTGTCGATAAGGTGCACGGCACACTATGACCTAATTCTGCGCTTGGAGTGCGGCATTATTACTGCACTGTTGACAAACCCTTAGCTGCCTTTGTGCAAAAACAGCTCGCAATAATTCAGAGGGCACGCCTTTGAAACATTTATCATACGAGCGAGGTCCGACATGATTGTGAGTGGCATTATGTTTGTCATACGGATCTCTGTAACTCCATGCATTCATACTTCGCATTCACGTGCATATTTTTATTTTGTATCTCACAATAACGAATATTTTGAAATATTTTTCTTTTTGTGCATGGTGAATACCTATGTGGATATGAAATCCTTCATTCTTCTAGACAAATAGATATAACATATGTGTATGGCACTAGGATTACTAAATTCAAGAGCTTAGTTATGAAATCATATCATTAAAAAATATTACTTAAATAAACATAATATAATGTATAATTTGCGTAAATAATAACTTCGTTTTGTTCTCGTTAGGTAAGTAAATTTAATAAAATAAAATTTTGAAATTAATTAATTTAAGTACTCTGGATTGTATCCGCTCGATTATCTTAATTTAATAACGTTAATGAGATGCGATACTCACATGAAAACAAATTTAATAATTTGTCAATATTGTTAATTGTATACTATTATTACCATTATAATCCCTTTCAACATATACGGAACGTAACGATAGATTTTTGTTTACACATTTGTAATGGCAAACAAAGCAGCCCATGTGATGGGAGGTAGTAATACCGTCACCCATAGGCATAAACAGTACTATAGATAATACAGTATACTGTTATACCCATGATATATGTCACACTTTGCCATTCTTGAGAAAAAAGGTATTATGCCTCGGTATTATGTAATTTATTGGAATATGGCAGTAAAATTACAAAAAAGATGGGCTCTTAAGACCGACAGCTATACCATTTGTCCTAAGAAGTGAGTTTTAGAGAACTTTTATGAGAAATAAAAGGACAGAAATTCATTCACAAACTCCATGCTCCAGTTTAAGCTTAAAATCCCATTATAACTCGTTGTTACGTGGCGAATGATAAGATTTGTTTTTTAAAAAACTAGCTTTATTACTTTACACAGAAATAGTACAATTAGATGTTTACAATATGAATTCGGAAATGGAACTGTCCTCGAACTGATTTGAGGCAGTATTTATATAAGGTGAGTTTATCGGAGAGGGGTTCTCGACTAATGATAACATGATGCTCATGGTACACAATTGCGAATACAGATAAATATTACTCATCAGCTAATGGTATTGTAACAAAGGCTAATGGTGTATGATTTCATGACAGTGGTATTTTATCAGAGAGGAGCTTTTGGCAAAGGCTTCTTAGTTAGCGATTACATTGTACTTACAAATACAAATAGACATTCCAAAATATAGATAAACATTACAGATAAACATTACTTATCGTAACAAAGACTTGTTAGTCATTACTTATCAACTATCAATATATTACTTATCAACTAGCATTTTAGCAAAAGACTTATTAGTCACAACATAACAGTCATAGCACAACATATTAGTCATAACATAACAGTCATTACATAACACCTCCCCTCTTAGAATAAAGATTGAGTTTTGTTACTCGATCTTTGATGAAGGTGTGGAGTGGCGACGTCATCGCTTTCATCTTCGGATATACACGACGTCGTTCTCGGTTCCAATGATGCCATGGGAATTTCGATGTGTTGACGGCGTTGAGAGCGATCGAAGCAGTTATTAAAAATCTGGATGCAGCCATCTCTACGTTGTGTTGTGGTGAATTGAAAACGTCTCTTGTGACACTTATAACACAAACACGTTAGCATGGCTAACCCAATAGCTATGCTGGAAATTGAGAGTTTTGTGGAATATTTTTCAACAAAAGTAGCTTGATTATCTTTTAATAGTTTAGAGTGTTGATTTATTTGTTCCTTTATGGTGTTGAGAGAGTCCAACGCTATGTTATTCAATTTTATTGGAAGAAGTTCTGGTTCTCTAATATTTAAGTTTTCAGGAATGCAGATTTGTTCCAGATCTACGGTGACAATAGGGTGACTAATATTTGTCGATAGATTTTCTTCAGCTAGTAGTGTAACGAAGGCAGTGTACATTTTACAGCCATTTTCCAATGATATGATGCCGGCTCCGGAGATTTCACCGTGGTTTGTTTCATCTTTACATTCTAGGGTATACGGCGTTGTATGTTGTAAGATGTAGATCCATTTATTGTTTCTGATGGGTTGCAGTGTGTTAATATTCGCCGAAAACGTAGTAACTTGACAAATTTCTGGCACGTCTTGTCTTGTTGTCGTAAGTATGGCAGTTTCACAGGTAGGCCTGGTGTTCACGTTATATACTGGGAGATCGTTGCAGACTTTTGTTTCCGTAACAAAGTTCTTACATTTTCCCAAGTCGTTCATTGTGACGTATTGCTGTCTGTTACTGTTCATGGCAAGAAATGTTTGCTCTGGGAGGATCGTGGAATATAAGGTTGATGAGGGATGCAGAATAGGAATAGAGTATATGTGATATAAGGTAAACCTATCGTTTCTAACTAAAGGGAATTCTAAAATATATATAATTTTATTCATATAGATATAAGATGTAATCGAAGCAGATTCGAGGATTTGATGTATGTTTGATAGCTTTATAGGAGCTACTAGATTTTTATTCACTCTAGCGGGACTTGAGGATAATAATTCTTTATATAGACGGTTAATTGATATAATCGAAGGGTGAATGGCTCCTGATTTAATGAACAAAATGCTTATTATTATGTCGTCAATGTCTTTTTCTAATGATGTTACTGACTCTAGTATTTGTATCGCTAGCGTGGATATTTCTTCAGAAATGGTAAGGTTGAAAATTAATTTGTTCGTGGTATTAAAATAAGAATTAACTTTAGCAATGTTTTCGTTGATTAAATGTTCGTCGTAAGAGATTTTCAGTAAGGTTTCGTTAAAATTTTTAATTGTCGAAGAGATTATCTGTAGTTGTTGTCTTAGGATTGCGTCAGTCGAAATCTGTTGTCTTTCTAACTGTTCGATACATTCATTGTAGTGTTTCGCATCTTTGGCGTCAGGTGTTCCGATAAGCCATTTTAATATTGAGCTTACACCGTCTATAAGTTCACGTTTACTACGTTTGTTATTTAAGCTACCTGCGGTATAGTAGTTTAATTCGCTTAATCTGGAGTCTATTTTGTTTAGACTGGCTTTGATGAAAGAACTTGTCGTAATTACGCTCGGTAGTGTCGTGTGTCTAGCGACGAGATTTTGATAATTTTGTGTGAGTCTTTTTATAGAATCATGAGTTAAAAATAGTGGTTCTAAGTCTCTATACACTAATAATTTCCACGAATTTTCAGAGATTAGAATTTCTCCGTTTTCTTCAAAATAGAGACCTGATTTTGAAGGTATGGGTAGTATTCGGGTATCCCCTTCAACAAAAGTTGAGGAGTACCTGTAAAGATATATATATATTTTTAAGGTTATTATTTGTATAGTTTTCCTTTAATAAATTTATATATTTTATATAAGATAACGTAAAAGATTAATTTAATGATAGAACATATTACGAAACTAATATATGGATTATTCATTAAACGTTCTAATTTTTTCTTTAGACTATCCTCGTCATATACTACGGGAGAGGTTGTAGGGTGTGCCATGGTTTGCACCCTGAAATAAAATGAATAACTTATATATATATATATATATATATATATATGTATACTCTGACTTACTTTAGTACCTTAATCTAAAATTAAAAGTTATAGTTTTTCGGTAGTTGGTTCACACAATGGCCTTAGGCGATTAGCATGCACCATTTGATTTTTGCCTGACTTTTGTATGACGTAATTCTCATTGAATCCGAGTCGGGTTACGACGTAAGGACCATCCCATTTATTTTCCAAATTGTTTGGATTCGGTACTTTCAACATAACCTTGTCGCCTATACTGAACTTGGCTATATTCCTTATATTACCATCATAACGTTCTTTAGCTTTTTCTTTCATATTTTGTACGTTGCGACGGGCAATATCTCGTGACACCTTAAGTCGTTCGTTAAGATCGCGCAAATAATCATGCGTTGTGTAATCGTTGTTTTCTTTAAACGAATATAATGATCGAGGTTTGTAACCGAATAGTAGTTCGTGAGGTGTGAGACCGGTTGATTGATTAATTGATGTATTATGGCACATAACAGCAAAGGGTATTATTTGATCCCAATTTGATTGATTTCGCTTATGGTACATTCTTATATGGTCACGCAGAGTAGCGTGGAAACGTTCGAGAGCACCGTTCGTCTGCGGATGGTAAGCAGTACTGACAGTATGATTGGATCCGAGTAATTTCATAAGTTGTTTAACGACGTTGTTAACAAACTCGGTGCCTTGGTCTGAATGGAATCTTTTGGGTATGCCGTAGTGTTGACAGAAGGTCAATAAGGCTTTAGCTATCGTTGTTGCTTGTTTGTCTATTATAGGATAGGCTTGAACGAATCTAGTCAGATCGTCTTGTAGCGTGAGTATGTATTTATTTGAATCATTGGTTACTTCTGAGTATGACACTAAATCGATTGTTACGCGTTCAAATGGTTCGTTGAAAGAAGAAGTGATAACCATAGGGGCTTTGTAGGTTTTTCTTTGGATTTTATTTCGTTGGCAAACTTGACAATTTTCTATATAATTCTTAATAGTATCGGACATTCCTTTCCAGAAATATTCGGTTCTAATTTTACGCGTAGTTTCTACTATGCCTCTGTGACCTGCTAAGGGGTCATCATGGAAAGTTTTCAGGATCTCGGGAATTTCCTCTGATGTGGGATTTTTAACCTTATTTTCACATATAGTAATCTTACACTCGTATACATCAGCAAGATAAGCTGTGATGTGGAGTTGTTCGTTGCCCTTGAGTTTACAAGTAGGGTCATTTTTTAAGTCAGGAATGTGAAGTGATTTTAAACTGTAATTTTGTAAGCAGTTAAGGAGAATTTTGAAATAACTTTCGGAGTCCCATGAGTCAAAGTGTGTAGGTCTTAAACAACCAAATATGATGTTCTGGTTCTTGTCTGAGACTAGGAGATCGACGTCATAGAGTTCTTTGACTTTATTTAAATATGGATCTACTTGAGAACACATAGAGATAGCTTCGTTAAAAAGGTCGTTTTTATCGGATAGTTCGCATGAAGAGGGTATAAATATGTTTTTGTGACGGTCGTCTAAGAGGCGATCTGAGGAAATATGAAGGTTTGGAGTGTCGAAACTATATGAGGAATTTTGCATGAAGTATTCGTAATTCATTTGTAAATAATCTTCAGAAATGTTTTCGCATGTGTTAGGAGGTTCGTTTTCAGTATTATCGATAACATTGGTGTTATGAATAGGAGGTCGTGAGAGTGCGTCCGCGTTAGTATTGTTTTTACCCGCTTTATAGATAACTTCGTACTCGTATTCTTCAAGTTTAAGGCGCCAGCGAACTAAACGACTGCCCGGGTCTTTAATAGAAAAAAGCCATGTTAGGGGCTTATGGTCAGTCACGATTTTAAACTTTCGACCAAATAGATAAGGTCTAAAATGTTTAACAGCCCAAACAATTGCCAGTAACTCGCGTTCAATTGTCGAATAGTTACTTTCGGCCTTATTAAGAGTGCGCGAGGCGTATGCGATAGGTAAGTCTTTACCTATTTCGCCTTGAGATAAGACGGCACCTATTGCGTTAATCGAAGCATCTGTGGTTAGAATAAATTCCTTAGCGAAATCGGGATATTGTAATATAGGAGGATTGGTAAGGAGACGTTTACATTCGTCAAATGAATTTTGTTGGGTCGTACCCCATACGAAAGGCACGTCCTTTTTTAACAGGCTCGTAAGAGGCTTTGTTAGTTTACTGAAGTTAGATATGAATCGACGGTAGTATCCTGTGAGGCCTAGGAACGCTTTAATATCTTTACAAGACTTAGGAATAGGAAAATCTCGAACAACACGTACTTTATCTGGATTCGGTTTGACGCCTTCATTGGATATTATGTGACCTAGATAGGCTACTTCGCGTCTAAGAAATTCGCATTTGTCAGGTTGTACTTTAAGATGATATTTGCGGAGACGAGAGAATACTTCTTGAAGTTTTTGTTCGTGTTCTTGGAGGCTAGAGGCAAAGATAACGATATCGTCGAGATAGACAAAACATCTTTCTCCTTGTAATCCACATAATACAGAGTCCATTACTCGTTGAAACGTAGCTGGGGCGTTTTTTAACCCGAAAGGCATTCGTTTGTATTCGTAATGGCCGTAAGGGGTACTGAAAGCTGTTTTAGAGATGTCATTGGGGTCGACTTCCAGTTGGTGGAATCCTGATGCGAGGTCTAACGTAGTGAAGTATTGGGAGTGTCCTAATTTATCTAGTATGTCCGTAATGTTAGGAAGGGGATAACTATCACCCACTGTGACTTCATTTAATTTACGATAATCTATGACTAAACGCCATTTTTGTTTCCCGGAAGCATCTAGTTTCTTAGGTACTACCCAAATAGGGCTACTCCAAGGGGAATTGCTAGGTCTAATGATATCCTGGTCTAGCATGTTCTTTACTTGGGTCTTTATTTCATTTTCGTGAACTTGAGGTAAGCGATATGTTTTGGCATGAATGGGTACGTTAGTGGTAGTAGGGATTTGATGCTTTGTATGGTTACTGAATGACAATGAGTCACCTTCTAGGAAAAATATGTCACTGTATTCAGAAATAATTTTATCTAATGATGTTGACTCTTCTTTATTTAAATGGTCTCGTCTGATAAGGGACAATACTTTCTTTTGTCTGTCGGTCTGCGATATCGAGTTAAAATTATGAAGTGGTTGACTATTGTTATTTTTTGTTAATTCGTCAATGTTAATAGGCTGGACTTCGATATTTGGTGTTTTAATGACTTTATCGGAATTATTAGTGTTTATACAAGTAATTGAAAATGTATTGTTTCGAACGTTGACTATAGCGTGAGGAATAATAACGCCGTTGCTTATAGTTTGTTTTTCGACTATTGCTGTCCCAGAGTTGATACTATTTGTGTTACACGTAATTACGGTTTCTGTTCGACTACTAATTATTCGTTTATCAGTGATAGTATTATTTTCAGGATATTCGCCCATATAATGAAGTTTATACGATTTACTGCCTATTCTCATCGTTTTGGATTGAATAAAAATGTTACAATTAAATTTAGTCATGAAGTCGTTTCCCAGAATACCGTCTGCTTTTATATTAAGGTTGGCGACGTGGAATTTGAATTCAGGTAAATCATCTAGGGATATGTTGGCAGTTCCTGATGTGATTGTCGAAGTTTGGGTGCTAGAGATACCTACAATTGACACGATGTTGGATTTATCCAAAGCAATTGAACCTATTTTATCGTCTCTGATAACTGAGATTCCTGCTCCCGTGTCTATTAAGAGAGTGACGGGTGTTTCTTTAATGAAAAAAGTACAGTGTAGTAGATTTTCAGGTGGCACGTCATTTAATGCAGATATAGCGAACGATTTGATATGAGTTTTTCTTTTCAAGGATTTAGATTTGTCTTTCGACCTAGATTTTGATTTGCGACTGGATTTAGTGAATATTGTAGAGTTAGAATTATCGATACTAGTGGATTTAGGATTTTGTGTAAAGCCTAGGGTTTGGGGCTGGTTACCCTGTCCGTTAGTTTCGGCTATAATGATTTCGTGAGTTTGAGTAGATATGGAAGATTTAGAATTCGAATTTTGATGAATATGATGAAAGTTAGGAAGTTTACTCGTTTGCGTACTAGCGTCACAAAATCGTTTTTGATAACAGGACATGTTCCGTACCTGATTATTTTTAACTATGGAGCTAGTACTAGCCGGTCCCCGATGGACTGAATGCGGCGTATAAGCGTTAAACTTCCTTGAAATTTGATTATTTTCTAAGAATCTATTTGTAGGTCCTCCAGGTTTAATTCCTGGGTCGATGTCTGTGTTTGATGAGGTGAGCAAGACGTTAAAGCGGTTTCCACCGAACTGCTCGCTTCGCTGGCCGCTAAATGGTTTAAATTATTTATTTTAGCGGCAGGTAATGCACGGAAATTTTGTTGGGGCGATATGTTCTGTTCTTGTAACGAGTTTCTGATATTATTATTATATGCTCGTTTCCTACAATCGGCGATGAGGTGGCCTGGTTTCTTACAGTAATTGCAAATAACGTTTTGATATGGTGGCGTTTTTGATGTATTCTGTTGGTATATATTAGGAGGTCGCGTCATCGATCGATTGTCAATCGTAAATTTTACGTGCGGTCTAGGACTATTAACAGACCTACTAGCGGCTGATACTCTAAATAGTGCCTGCCTAGCATTATTCATTGCTCGAATTTTGTCTTCCTGTAGCGCGAAACGACCTGCGTCGGAGAGATTACTAAAGTTTTTAGTTCTCAGCATTGCTCCTACGTCTGAATTAATTCCGTTGATAAATACCGATAAGGCGGTTTCTTCTGTGGTCGCTAACCGACCTGCGAGCGTCTCATCTAAAATTTCCGCTGTTAGTTTTTCTACGATTTTACTCCTACAGAGGTCTACCCGGTGAAAATATTCAGTCATTGTTTCGTTTGGTTTTTGGAACATAGACTGTAGTTCTAGGCTTAGATGGCTAATCGTTTTTACATGCGAGAATTTTTCGATAAGGAACGATCTGAGCTCAATCCATGTTTTGTATTGTTTACAATGGACATCGGAGGCACCTGAGCCAGTGATGTTATTTAAAACGTATACTAAGAGGATTGATTCTTGTTCTAAAGAGGCTAAAGCAAAGGCAGAATTGCAAGATCGAACAAATCTATATAGTTGGTTATTTTCTTTGGTGTCAAACGTCGGAATTAATTTTAATAATGTAGAGATATCTAGAGCCATTCTTTCGTTTTTTATTTCTAGTGGCATTAGAAAGGTATATAGGAAAGAAAAGAAAAAAAATATATATATATAAAAAGAATTAGGATAGATGCGATTTAAAGGATTTAGAGAGCGAACAAATTCAAACCACTCACCATAACAATACAAGTATTTGGAGCTGCATGTTCGGCGAAGTGTTTCAAAAGCCTGTAGCTACCGCGCGTTGCTCTGCTGGGCGATGCTGTCCCGATGATCAACTGCACGTTGCACTTCGTCTTATGCGAGATCCTACCGACTGCGCCAAATTTGTTACGTGGCGAATGATAAGATTTGTTTTTTAAAAAACTAGCTTTATTACTTTACACAGAAATAGTACAATTAGATGTTTACAATATGAATTCGGAAATGGAACTGTCCTCGAACTGATTTGAGGCAGTATTTATATAAGGTGAGTTTATCGGAGAGGGGTTCTCGACTAATGATAACATGATGCTCATGGTACACAATTGCGAATACAGATAAATATTACTCATCAGCTAATGGTATTGTAACAAAGGCTAATGGTGTATGATTTCATGACAGTGGTATTTTATCAGAGAGGAGCTTTTGGCAAAGGCTTCTTAGTTAGCGATTACATTGTACTTACAAATACAAATAGACATTCCAAAATATAGATAAACATTACAGATAAACATTACTTATCGTAACAAAGACTTGTTAGTCATTACTTATCAACTATCAATATATTACTTATCAACTAGCATTTTAGCAAAAGACTTATTAGTCACAACATAACAGTCATAGCACAACATATTAGTCATAACATAACAGTCATTACATAACATCGTTCAATCTTTTCTTTTCGCATTATTTTTAAAGTATTCTTAGAAACATAATATTTACTCTCAACTAAAATTGTAAATAAACACACACTGTGTAATCTATTTACTATTTCAATATTGTTCAGCACATAGAAATCAAACTTCATTCGAATGTAATATATGACGACAAAGACGTAAGGTTGTTTTTAGTTTGAACTTTATCGCGTGAATAAATTATTAGGACATTATAACAAGCAACTGTATTGAAGTATAAAATATTATATAAGGAAAAAGATTTACTGCTTTTAAAAGTATCTTGTATATATATGCATATATATAGAAGATACTTAAGATATATGGTTTATATAAAACAGAAGCATAAATATAATAAGTGCAACAATTATAACTTAGATATATTCGAAAATATGTTACAAACTTTTAATAAGAATTTCACCTACAGTACAGACGTGAGCAAAGCAGCAACTTAACTGTTTGTAAGACTGTTTGCTACCACAGTCTTGGTTCACCGTTACATCATCTGTTTAATTTAATACATTCAGTTGCATAACACCTTTATTACCTATCGGTGCATATAAAAGATGATATTGGATAGACTCAAAAATAATTACAAAGTGATTCATAAATATGATTAAAAATTACACAAAGTAGTAACAAAAAATTTCGGGTATGTATATATAGTAATAATACATGGAACATCATCATCTTTCTGTACTTAACTTTGATTATGAACTTGGAAAGACATAAACTGATTGTATATGTACTTCAGTACTTTCATATACTAATAATCAAACTGATAACACGGTATAATAATACAAAAGTCTACCAACCTTCTCAACTTGTAATCCAAGTACAAGAAAACAAAACTTATTTAATGTCAAAGTCACAGTTTTGTTAAAAGGCTTTCTGTGTATAGCAGTTTGTTTGACAGAAACGACATATAAACTTACATTCCAACTTGTATGTCCTAACTATTGCCTATAGACTTGAAAACCATCAAAGATTTACAGATTACATGACTTGAACTCTAATGCTTTGTTATTCTTGAAGATTAATGTGTTTTTCTTGTATCAGTAATTTTAGTAGCTTCCTTATCCTTGAAACCGAAATAAATACCACAGCGTCTGTTATTATTAAACTATATAAGACATAATAGATAAGAACTTCTCTAAACTAATTACACCCAAATCTAAGGTCAATAAAATATTTAGAGTTTTGTGGCAAATCTTTATATAATTCATCTTCCTTTTGAACTGCATCCTATTTTACTTGATATTTCATAAATAATAATTTTCTACGTCAATGATTTTATTTTATAAAAATAAAAAAATATTATATAATGAGGTAAAATTAATTAATGGACTTGAAATTAATGTCAAATACTCAAGTCTACAACAATCCCCTGCAATTATGAAAAAATCGAAAAATATAGCCGTTTATAGCATATTTTTTGACATTTGCAAGGGAATAAAAAATTATAGGGTATTTCCTAATGACGTAAAATCATGAAATTTGGCAAAAAGCGTTGTCGTGCAGCGCAAGTAAAAAAAAAAATTCGAAAACCGTAAATTTGTAATTACATCACAAAGAAAATTATAAAATTATGTTTTTTACTGAACAATGTGTTATCTTGCGGAAGTTCACATCACTAGTTATTTTTCAAAAGTTAGTTATTTGTTCAAAATTATAGCGAATGTTCGAATAATTTTCATAATTTTGGTGTTAAATTAAAGTAAAAATTAACGGTTAATTCTAGGCTCTGAGCTGCCTCGTTTAAAAGTGAAACACTCGCATATCGCAAAACGTGCGTAAACGGAGTGCCTAGTTGATGGCTATTTTGGATAGTAATAATGGTGGTCAATCTTGGAGTGTTGGCAGTCACACACATCCTAATTATAGCGGAATTAAATTAAATAACTCTAATGAAATAAACAGTATTTTTTGTAATTATGATTTGTATGGAACATTCGGCGTGAGTCCAAACTGTACTTCGCCGATTTTCGTTTTTTTTTTTTTTATTATATAATTAAATCTTTATTCTAACTTAAAGTCTTTACACTACCTACTAAGATCTACTGATAAATAATTGTCATATTTTTTAATATGTAAATTCAAATTACCTAAAAAGATTGATATTTTTTTCCAAGTGAAACTTCTGTATTCACAAGATATTCAATTTTCGTTCCCTCGCTTTATTGTTCTTGTTTTATTCATAAATTATTTAAAAAAATAATCCTTTATCTCAGTTTCTGAATAAAGTTAGTATGATAAATAAACTCATTAGCTAATTCATTTAACTTTAAACAATACTTAATCGTCATGGTAATTTCGTATTATCAGTCAAAGAGTAAAATCAAGTTCTTGGTTTTCCGTTTGAGATAAAAATAAATTAATTATGGCGTGAGCTCTAGAGTAATCGGAAGTTTAAATCTGTCGGATAGCCTGCGGTGCTTTTTCCGCGTGGCTGAATATGGTACAGCCTTTTACACCAATTAATTGAAAAACAAAAATTAAAACAATTTGCTGCTGAAACAAAGGGATTTTATTTACATATAATATGCATTGCAGTTTTTGCGGAAACGAATCGTCAGTTAATAAATATAAACCCTTAATATAATATAAATTTACTTTTTAATTAAATAATTTAATTTCCGATGCAATCGTTTTATACCATAATTATAAATCTCAATATTTTATTATATCTAACATTTAAGTAATATAAAATCACGATTTTTTAACTTATGTTAATTAGTATGTTATATAATTCATAATATTCCTTTTGCCTAGTTTTATAAAAAAAAAATGTAAGCCCCACTACCTACTTCGGCTATATCTCGGATAATTAAATAATAAAATTTTGAATTCTATCTAAAGTGAAGGCTTACAGCACGTCCATTGGTAAACGGTCACTGTAGCCTATAGAAAAACTATTACAATTTAAACTGAAATTAAACAGATAATAATAGTTCATAATGTCTTAATTTCTTTTTTCCAAAGCTCATTTTATTTAATTGTTCGCCAACTACTTCCTATCCTGCATTAGATTGGTCGAATGAATGTCGTCATCGAGTTCCTTTTATTAGGAAAAGGTCGCAGGTCGTGTCGTAGTTTGTTTGCTGCTCCGAGTGGGTTTATAGCGGCCTAATGTCGAGCCCTGTATTTGTTCCGTGTCTGAGCTGTTCAAGTACGCCATATTTTTACTTAGCCGACGTCGAACTGAGATCTTATTAGTTTGCTCAGCGAATTTCTCTGTAAGCCTAGTCTGTTTTGGAAACACACTCGATATGTAGTATACCTAATATTTGAAATGAGTGCCTCATCCCTAAGAATTTTGTTATTGTCTATTTAAATATGCTCTTATTTATGATAACAAATAAAATAGTTATATTGTTAAAATATGACAGTAATCGATCATTACAGTTGCGGATTCTCATCATTTTTTTTTTATTTTATAACACATTTTTACAATTTGTTATTTATTTTTATGACTTAACATTGTAATTCAACTTTGACAAATCCTATTTAAAAATGTTTCACATCAGGCATTGTATTTATGTTTACTATTTGTTTATTTAGTTGATATTTAATTATCTAATTGAATTCATATTTTAATGTATTGATAAACTATTAAATTGTTAATTTTCTATTAATTTACACGATAAATTGACACATTTACAGACGCTTATTATGAATGTAATAATATGGTTGATAAATCAAATATTTGTTAGTAGAATAGAATAGGAATTTTATTAATAGATTACCTTTTATAAAAATTAACGTAGTGGTTTATATAACCAATTATTACAATTTACTACGAGATATTATCAGGATATTTAATGCTTAAATTAGTCTCTCTACATATTAAAGTTTAAATACTTTGGAGACCCATCTCCCAATTACTCTGTCATTTTTAGGTTTGGATCAGGTAGTAAATAAAATGAGTTAACGTAGATTTGCCGCTTTCACTTTAGGTACGAAAGGTGAACGAATCTGATTAAGGCCAAATTTAACGATGAATGAACCTGTCACTTAAATGCCAGACACTTGAAATATATCTAAAAATGGGCGGAAAATATACGAGATTTTTTGTCAAAATATGACTAAGATAGCTCGTATGTACTTAAAAGAACTGTAGGTCATTTTGAGATTGTACACAATAAAAGCCCTATATAAGAAATAGCTTATCCTTATCTCTCTTTTATTCTAATTTAATAGAAGACAATTAAACACTCA